TACATTTTCATTGGAACTGCAGTTCATAAAATTAAGCCAAGACCTTCGTATTAAACCCAAATAGAGTGACTGACTACTACAATAAAACATGTATTCAGGACTTAGAGTGTCCTAACATAATAGCCAAAACATACAAGATACAATAAAAGAAATCACTCTCCATACGAAGAATTTGGAAAATCACAGCTGGAATGAGAAAAGACAATCTGCTGATGCCCACAATAGGATGAAATCATCTGGCAAGAATTTTAAAAGTATTTGTCATGAAAATGCTTCAACAAATGATTACAAATCCTCTTGAAACAAATGAAAAAGAAAATACCGGCAAAGGAATAAGGGATAAAGTTGGACTACCAAAGACCCACCTCCAAACTGAAAACAACCCAAATGTCCTTCCGTGAGTGGGTAGTTACACAAGCTGGGGTGCGTGCATGCCATAACACCACTCAGCAACAAAAAGCAATTGGCACCTGCAGTCATGTGGGTGGCTCTGCAGGGCATTATGCTCTGCGAACATGCCATTCTCAAATGATCACATGCTGAATGATTCCATTGATATAACCTTAAAATGAAAAATGATGGAGATGAAGAGCAGGTTAGTGGTTGCCAGGGGTTGGGGAGAGCGGGATGGGGGAGGCTGGTGATTCTACAAAACGAGGGCGATCTTTGTGATGATGAAATAATTATGTATCTTGATTGCAGTGGTGATTACACACATCTTCAGCTGTGATGGAATGCCATCAAACCACACTTACTCATTGTACCAAGGTCAATTTCCTGGTTTTGATACTGCACTCAAATTATGTGAGAAGCCATTGCGGAAACAGAGTGAAGGGGAAACTGGGTGAAGCGGGACCTCTCTCATATAGCTGACCCTTGAACAACCGAGGGGTTAGGGCACCAATCCCCATGTAGACGAAACTCTGTGTATACCTTTTGGCTCCCCCAAAACTTAACTCAAGTGGCCCCTCTACAGTATCCGTGAGATGGGTTCCAGGATCCCCTCTAATACCCAAGTCCTCAGATGCTTGGTCCCCTATACAAAACGGCAGAAAACAATGCATGCAGTCGGCCCCCGTCACCCGAAGGTTGCCAACTGTGGATGGGAAGTACAGTTTTCTAGCTGCCGTTGGTTAAAGCCCTGGCTGTGAAACCCAGGGAGACTGAGGGCTGACTGTATATTTATTGAAAAAAATATCTGCGTGTAAGTGTACCCACGCAGCCCAAATCTGTGTTGTTCAAGGGTCAACTGTGCTATCATTGCAACGTCTTGTGCATCTACATTTATTTCAAAATAGAACACACACACATACACACACACACACACACACACATACACAGAGTCACACAAAGCCCTTGGGAGCATAGAAGACTATGGTGTGTTGTTTTTGTTTGTTTGTTTTTTGGTTTTAATTAATTTTAAGAGAAGAGAAAAAGAGAGAGAGAAACATTGATCAGCTGCCTTCCACACACACGAGATGGAGGATGGAACCTGGAGCCTTTTGTGTAGGGGATGACGCTCCAACCAGGGCAGTAGACTCTGTTCTGATGGAGGAAGAGCTGGCATCACAGTAAAGTTAAAAAACCTCACTGGAAGCAGCCACGGCTTGCACCTAACAGCTTCTCCACTCTTACAATGTCATTCGTCACCCACCCTCCCTTTACATTCCTGGCACATCACTTCAGCAGCCCTGGTCTTCCCCCCTCCTTGCTAGCTCCCTCCCCTCCCTCCTGGGCTGTGTTCTGTCCCCTCCCACACTTCCTTCCACCTCTTTCTTGGTGCCAATCAAATGCCACCTTTCCACCCCACCCCAGGGCGACTAATCAGAGGGAGCCATCCTTCTCCCCAAGGAATAGGCATGTGAGCCAGAGCCCTTGCAGGGGTGTCACATGACCGCGGCAATGAGGGGTGCAGGTGAGGCTGTCTCGCTGCATGTCTTTAAGGGGCACCACTCTACATACTGTTGACTCCGGGGGATGCGAAGCTTGAGTCCCAGAGGAAGAAACTGTGGGACCGAAGGACTTGCCAAAATGTCAAGTCTACACCGGGCCAGGCACGAAGGGCCTCTGTAACTGTAGACGAGCCAGGAAGGAGGGGGCCATCGCCAAACAGGCAGGACTCCTCCCCTACCACCTACATGTCACCTCAGGTGGGCTACTGCCCGCCAAGGAGCCTCCACGTGTCTCCCAGCCTCCCGGGCGGGCCCGGCTCCCTCCAGGGGTGGCACCACAGTGCCCCACTCCCAGGGAAGTCTTGGTGGGTTCACCTGCCACTCGCCTGTTGTGTGGGGTGAGGGATCAGTTGGAGGAGACCGGGGTCCTAGAGTACAGGGCTTGGTGGGTCAGAGGGAGGGGTTCTTATCACGGCGAGGCGGCCCCGGCTGGTCTCCTGGAGGCCAGAGTCCCTGGGGAGGGCCAGGTCAGTGGATGCCGAGACTTGGGCCAGACCAGGCTGTTCTGGTGACAGGGCGGTCAGGGGGGAGATGCAGGGCTGACCCAAGTCCCAGCCCACGTCTCACTCCGCAGCCTCTGTGCGGTGGAAGCTGGCTGGCTCGGCCGGAAGGCTCGGAGGCACGTCCAGTTTGTGTTTCCTTAGCCCCCAACACAGACGCACAGTCACTCCTCTCTCCTTCCCTCCAAGGCCGGCCCTGCCCGGGCGCTGTCTGCCCTCACCTGGGCGCCTCACCCCCTGGCCCCACGGCCCTCTTTCGCCTGCCCTGTTCCTGGCTCCCAGCCCTCGGCCACCCCTGGCAGCCAGGCCCGGCCAAGGCCAGGCTGTTTTGGAAAAATGCTGGGAGGTGGCAGAATGTGCGGTCTTCGAGTTCCCTCCGAACTGGCGCCCCGATCCCTGGACAAACAGCGGCGTGTTTGCCGTCCACAAGGGCCTGTGTTCTCCTTCCAGGCCAGGAGATCCCGGCAGCCAGCGTGTGGGGGGCGGGCAGGCGGCAGGCGGACGTCACGGCCCGCGGCCCAGGGGAGAGAGGCACGGACTGGCCGGGCGAT